CAATAAAAGTAGCGAAGAAGGATATATCAAATCAAGGAAAACCTGCATGAAGGAATTTATCTTTTGATAAGCTAGCGTAAACAAATCCCATTTTAAATTTTTTTTATTTATAAACTGAATTTTAACTCAGATGAAGATTGTAGGCACCCACGTCTTTGAAATGTCAGATGGTCAGGTTGGTGTAATCAAACTCCTCTCACCGCAAATGTGCACACCGGCAAGTAAGCAGCGCACTATGTTCAACACTAGCTACACCTTTGTCAGCGAAACATTAGGACTTGTATTTCAGCCACTTTTCTGTGCCACAATACTACCCTTATCATGCGCGCTCTGTCTTAATGAGCCAGTTATTAATATTAACTTCTCAACTTACAACCATTTTTGATTGCAATCTTGCTTTTGTTCCTAAATTTATAACATAAGTTGAATGCAATTAATAAATTTGAAAAGACGCGCAAGTTACCATGATTTGCAGGTTTACTTCACGGCTTACAAATGCATGTGATTGTTCCCATCCCTTGGTTTGTTCGCCACGATGTTATCCATACTAAATGACTAGCACATTGAATTTTACACTTATTTTGTACGATTTAAAGGGCCCCTTGGGTTAAATTTGTTTTTTGTTCTTTAAGAAATCCTTGATGTTCCGCCATTTGAATGCCTGGATCAACAAGCCAGCTGCCACCGAAGTTTAAAGGAAATCAGAGTTTAAAGCGTCATCTACATATAATAAAAAAAACTATGCCGCATCTATGCAGAATAAATATGTCAGTTGAATTGCACATTTAGGTAAAACTGTTTTTGAGGACCTTACAAAACGGTTTTGCATTTTGCCATATGCCTTAATTATTTCCACTTAATCGCCTAGTAAAGGACTTTATTTGTGAGAGTATGTTCAAATAATCTTGAGCCCTTCCATTAACAGTTGATCAGACCATCAGAGTAAATTGATACGCATATCCAGACTGCTTGAGACATCTCAGTCATATCGAAAATGTCTTAGGCTCGATTGCGCTGTGAGGCTTTCAGCACAGTTTAACGGTCAACTATGGTTTCCGTTTTTAACCAATGTTGACATAAACTAGGCGTTTCCCAGTCATATTTTTAGCCAAGACAAGAGCGTGGCAAGATTCTGATTATGAAACACGTGAGCATTTCTGCAAAACGCGCTTGAGCATCTGGTCACCTAGGCAACCGGCCATGGGCAGCATTAGATTAAAAGTACGGTTGACTTGCCGTACAATCATTGTTTCT